TCAAAATTCTGCCCACGAAAGTTTGCCAACGCTCCTGCCCCAGGAGTTTAATAGTTTCCCTTACTCGCGGGGCATTGTGCAGCGCTGAAAAGCAGCCCCTCGCTATTCAAGTGTTGGTGGTCATCTCAATAGATCTCCAAGGGCCCATATGGTGGCCAGTGCCGATGAATCCGCCTGTTTAAATGGGGGAGAAAGTTGGGGTTTTAAAACATTTCAGAGTTCCTGAAAAGATCCCACTAGATCCTGTCACAATTCCCTGAACTCTTTGAAGGCACAGCCTATTGTCTCCTGGTTATAAATAATATTCCTGGCCAAGTCGATTCCCACCAAGGTGCTCCTAAGGACTCCTCCACCCCACCTCTGGCCAAGTTTTGAGGATAGGGAGGTGGGTAGCCCATGTTGGTATCCTTTGGGGGTCATTTCAGGACCCCAGACCCGGGACCCAGCCTGTAGTGGCCCTGGAGGCCCAGTCAGGGTTTAGGCAATCCTGCTTCCCTTCACACAGACTGTGGCTTACAGGCAAGGTGCAAGGCGGAAGAGCCAGCTAGCCCAAGTACACATCTTGCCCTCCAGGCAGCAAGGGAAAACAATAAAACTTTCCCCCTGTATAAAGATAGAAATTACATTAAAAGTGGTGGAAATGCCCTAATTAAAAATGTACCACTTAAATGATATGCCAAAGATTCAGCTGCAGCATAGAATATTTAGCTAGTTAGTGAACTCTCTACTATTTCTTTTTAAAAATTACACGTTAAAAATTTAAAAGAAATCTTACTTTTCTCTGGTGCAACACATTACAAAGAATGGACAGTCCTTTTATCTAAATATAAAATTCCATTTTCAGCAATTATAGCCTGTTCTTGGTGATGATATAATTACAGCTGTGCTCGTAATAGGTGTCAAGGCGAAGCGCACTCATACAATAGTTGAATAAAACTGCAGAACAATGCGAGCACTTCTAAATTCACAACCTTTAAAATGAAATTGACTGTGCAGAATTCAAATAAAAACTAGATAAATATTTTTTTAAAAAGATTACAAGCTTGGTTTGGTTTCTTAATAGCATTTTCTACAAACCTATCAACATCTAATTGATTAGATAGGAATTACTGATTATAGATCAACTGAAATCTTGAGCATCACTCTTCTATTTTCCCAACACAGCCATAGGTAAAGAGATTCTGTAGGGAATGGAGTGAGGCATTTGGGGAGTTGGGGTTACTTATAAAAGATCATTTTAATTGGAAACTTCAGTGCTTATTTTTTCATTCAAGAAATGCCACTTAGTGTGTGTATTATAAAGTCTTGTCTTGATAAAAACAAAGAAAATGGCGGTCAGGTAACTAACATCACAAATGTCTTTTGTTAACAGAAGGCTGACAGTTACCTTGGGAATGTCTTGGTGAGGCTGTCAGGATACGATGCTCTTGGAATTTAAGACTGCACCAAGCCCCTTTTGGAGGCTCCGCGTTATTCCAAATTTCTCTTACCGTCCTATTCTTTTTGTTCCAGATGGCTGCCAGCAACAGGAAGGAGGGGGAGAGAATACCAACTCCATCAGTTCCAACGGAGAAGATTCAGATGAGGCTCAAATGCGACTTCAGCTGAAGCGGAAGCTGCAAAGAAATAGAACATCCTTTACCCAAGAGCAAATTGAGGCCCTGGAGAAAGGTGATAGAGTTTTTCAAAGTAGAGAAGCAGTAAATCAAAGTAAATGCCACATCTTCAGTACAAAGAGCTAAATTTAGCCAGGGCCCTTTGCATAGAGGACTGAAAAGGTTTCTTTTTTCTTTTTATTTCTCTGGGCATCTTTTCAGTGTGTGTGTGTGTGTGTGTGTGTGTGTGTGTGTGTGTGTGTGTGTGTCTGTTTCTTCTTTTCATCTACCAGTAATTCAAATACTAAATGTCTGGCTTACAAGGAAAAACGATGATTTGGCTATTTCGGGCCACAGAAAGGTCATTGAATGTCATTCCAAAGAAAATTTAACTTAGTTCTGGTGGGAAAGTTCTTCCAAGTACAGTCAACACTAGAAGCATTTTAAAGGGAATTGGTTGGCGGTAATGGGAGCGGGGAGGTGGGAATCAGCTTGATCCACAGTTTGGTTAACATATTTTGTGTAGTTCTGGCACAATATGGAAAATCAACTTACTCTTTCAGAGTTTGAGAGAACCCATTATCCAGATGTGTTTGCCCGAGAAAGACTAGCAGCCAAAATAGATCTACCTGAAGCAAGAATACAGGTACCCAGGGACTGTGCAGTTTCACACTTTGCGATTCATACCATTTGTTTTTCTTAGAGACAGAGGTGCTTGTACAGAGCACTAATCATTTATAGGACTAATAACAGGTTCAGTCTGTGAAATGCTCTGCTGCCATGGGCATGGGGAGGGCAGTAGTGGAGGTGCCGAGGTGGGGCTGGGCTCCATGTAGACACGGTGCTAACCTGTCCCATCTGATTTCCAGGTATGGTTTTCTAATCGAAGGGCCAAATGGAGAAGAGAAGAAAAACTGAGGAATCAGAGAAGACAGGCCAGCAACACACCTAGTCATATTCCTATCAGCAGTAGTTTCAGCACCAGTGTCTACCAACCAATTCCACAACCCACCACACCTGGTAATTTGAAATACTAATACTATGAATCGATGTCTTTAAACCTATTTGCTCGGGGCTCTGACTCTCACCCTGACTACTGTCATTTCTCTTGCCCTCAGTTTCCTCCTTCACATCTGGCTCCATGTTGGGCCGAACAGACACAGCCCTCACAAACACCTACAGCGCTCTGCCGCCTATGCCCAGCTTCACCATGGCAAATAACCTGCCTATGCAAGTAAGTGCGGCTGGTGGTGGCCTGCATAATCCAGGCCCCAGAGAAGTGAGGAGTGGCTCAGGGCCTGCGGACCTCGTTGGCTGTGTCTGCGCCCATGGGAGCTTTTCGCACTACAGTGATTGGTTTGACCAGTCAAGTCGGAGACAGTCAATCCCATCTCTTTTAAGTGATTGACTCATTGATTCATGCCCCACCCCCCCCCAAAAAAAATCTGTCCAGTTTTGTCAGGTTAACCTGCCTCTTATCATATTGTCTAGCTTGATAATATTGGGTGGTAGTGGGACATGTTTTGGGTACCAGTGAGACAGTCAATCCAATCTCTTTTAAGTGATTGACTCATTCATTCATGGCCTAAAAAAATTAGTAATAAAAATCTGTCCAGTTTTGTCAAGTTGATCTGCCTTTTATTATACTGTTAACTTGATAATGTTGGGTGGTGGTGGGGCATATTTCGGGTACTAGGGAGCCTTGTACCAGAAAATGGAAATAATGCTGGCACATTATCAGATAGCGGGAGATTAGTAGTTTAAAATTTGGGTTTATATTATTGTGTTTGTATGCTAAATATATAATCTATGCATGCATTTGGGGCATTACTTAGGGTATGTGTGATAAACCAGTGAGAGAGAAAAAAAGGGTTCGGAAATGGGATTCATATTTACATGGTGAGATATACATAACATAATGAGAATGCTAGTTTTCTGTCTATATCTACAATAAGAAAAGGCATAGCAGGTGTTTGCTGGAAATGTAGTGTGTCTTTGCCGTGAATGGTGTGATGAGTTTGTGGCCCTCCTAGCTGCCTGGGAAGCTTGATGCTATTCACTTGGTATGACAGCCTGCCTCTCCTCTTAGTTCTGTCCCAAATATCTATTAGCCCCTGATTTAGAGGCTCTGCACTAGGTTCACCCTTTATGATGTAAGTTGGATAAGGCAGATGGTTTGTACTAAACCTTTGTTGCTGGATGGATTCTTGATAGGAAAAATGTCTTCTGGTAGGCTTTTCCCAGTGGTTTTCCTAGAACTCCTGTTTGTGCAACAACTAGAGATATTACATGGTATGATACTGGCCAGCGTGAGCCTCTGCTGGAAACAGTTCTGGGGCTACACTGGTTGTTTATTCTCCACTGAACATTTTTTGCTGGATTTCAGATCCAAATAACAGCAAAATAAATGTTTCACAGTCTTCAGACTAATATAGGAGCAGCTAGATAAGCAACTTCAGAAGAATTATTCACATGTTTATTTTTATTGCATCTGGATATTATTGGCCATAGTGCAATTGATGTAAATTAAGGGATTAACAGCCCATTAGTTGGTGTTGCTATAACCGCACTGGAATTTTCCAGAAGTCAGGTTGCCTAGAGGAAGTCATTGCAGGAATTAGAAACAAATGCAAGCTGAAATTCTGGCAGGGCCCTCAAGGCCTGTTTGCCTCTTTGAACTTGATGTTAGTAGTCATCATCTGACTTTAATAAGGCCACAGAGTGTCTTGTTCAGTTTCATATATTATAACAACATCCAGGTTTCTGTGAAGATAGCAAAATGTGTATGAGAAAATAATAAGATGTACAAGTAGATGCTGCCATTATATTAGGGCTGTTTCCACATACAGACCGGTGTGGGGAATCAATCTATTTCAAACACTGACTTTTAAAAATTACATAATTTATATAATTCAAAAAGTACATGTATTCATTAAGCATAAAGAAAATCAAAATGATTAATAACTTTACTCTTCAGAGAAAACTACTCTTTGAATTTTGGAGTGGGTGAGCCGGTTTGTCTAGCCATTTATTCATTCTCTTGACCAAAATCATCATTTTACAAATGGTGGATGTCTTCCTCTGGACCTTCTCTGATATGCTTCCCTCTCTGAGAATATGGATCTTGGAAATTAAACATTTCTCCAGTTTGCAGAGAAGAAAAATGATAGTATACTGTACTCTCATCTGACTTGCTTGTTCCTGACACACTTCTTTTAATTCATCCCGTTTGCTGCCATGGTGTAGTACCATGAGAGCTTGTGAGGCGTTTCGTTAGGAGAAAGGTTCACCTCCTCAATGCTGCCATTCTGAACCGTTCGAGGGCAGCAACAGTTTTCTGGTTATAAGTCAGTCTGGGCTTTTGAGTCTGTTAGGAAGTCATGGTTAATTCTCAGGATGGAGGTGGGTTACATTTACTAACTCGATCTGGGGTTTGGGTCTATTAGGAAATCGTGGTTAATTCTCAGGATGGGGGTGGGATATATTTTCTAACACTTCTGATCACTTTAACTTGGGGTCATTACAGATCTGCTTCTTCAAATAATCTTTAATCCCATGAGTCTGGCTGTGAAAGTTTCCCAAGGTCCCTGAACCATACTTTACTGAGAGCTCCTCCCACTGCTCTCTGTCCCAAAGCTTGAGATGTGGGCTTTGGGGGTCACAGCGTTCCCAAATAAATCCAGATTTACAGGGAGAGGGGGGATGTGTTTTGATGAAGGTCCTCATGCAATAGGTTCTTCAAAGATGCCAGCAGAGGTTAGAGACAAAAATCCCATTAATTTATGGATAGTGGCAACCATGGAGCTGGACAGTTGTCAGAACCTACTGTGCTTTAGAAGCTTGATACATAGGCAACTTTCTTCTAGCTGTGGCCAGTGGAAGGACTAGCTCGAGGCCCAATCTTAGATTTATCATATGGAATTCCAGTACTTCATGTGAAGGCATCTTTAATGATCAGACTTGTTGCCAGAGTTCCTCGGGAGGAGGGAGCCTGGGGCTGTGGCTGTGTGATGTGTTCCTCAGTAACCACAGGTTTGCCTCTCTCCTCACAGCCCCCAGTCCCCAGCCAGACCTCCTCATACTCCTGCATGCTGCCCACCAGCCCTTCGGTGAATGGGCGGAGTTATGATACCTACACCCCCCCACATATGCAGACACACATGAACAGTCAGCCAATGGGCACCTCGGGCACCACTTCAACAGGTGAGCCACTGCTTTCTGCGGGCTGTACAGAGGTGGCCTGTACAGTTTCTTTTACTAGGTGATCTCTCGTCACTAGAAGTCTACCCAAACAGAATCTCCTGGTCCTGTGGGAGGTTGTGTTTAACTCTTTGCTGTCCGTGTCCCTGGGGGATGGGGATTGAAAAAGGAAATTCAGTTAAGCTAATTAGTAACTTTACACCATATACAGAAACTGAAATTGTTTTTCCTGAATTTGGTCACCAAAGTTGTGTATGAAGACAAGGCCTGAGACTGCAAGTTTTCTGAGGACAGATTATTAGACCATGCTCAGTAGGGGGCCCACTGAGCTGTAGGTGTGTGCTTGTTGAAATGCTTCTTGCCCTCGTATCTCCCCTAGACCTTTCGCTGCAAATAAAAAGTGACACATTGGTTTTCCAGAGATAGATTTATTGTAAAAGTTCCAACCATGCAAACAAACGGAGGATTTTTTTCTTTTCTTATGGATTGGCAGGCAGGTACTTGGGATCCAACAGGTATATATAAACATGTTGTCTAGTTTCTGAAGCTGCTACTTTTATTTGTAACAATGGAAGCATTTTTTTAATACAGTAAAAAATGTTAGCAAGTATTAGTTTTTTTTGTAAACCCATAAATTTGTATTCCATGTCTGTTTCTCAAAGGGAATATCTACATGGCTATTTCTTTCATCCACTTCTAGGACTCATTTCCCCTGGTGTGTCAGTTCCAGTTCAAGTTCCCGGAAGTGAACCTGATATGTCTCAATACTGGCCAAGATTACAGTAAAAAAAAAAAAAAAAAAAGGAAAGGAAATATTGTGTTAATTCAGTCAGTGACTATGGGGACACAACAATTGAGCTTTCAGAAAAGAAAGAAAAATGGCTGTTAGAGGCGCTTCAGTTCTACAACTGTGTCCTGTATTGTACCATTGGGGAAGGAATGGACTTGAAACAAGGACCTTTGTATACAGAAGGCACGATATCAGTTGGAACAAATCTTCATTTTGGTATCCAAACTTTTATTCATTTTGGTGTATTATTTGTAAATGGGCATTTGTATGTTATAATGAAAAAAAAGAACAATGTAGACTGGATGGATGTTTGATCTGTGTTGGTCATGAAGTTGTTTTTTTTAAAAAAAGAAAACCATGATCAACAAGCTTTGCCATGAATTTAAGAGTTTTATCAAGATATATCGAATACTTCTACCCATCTGTTCATAGTTTATGGACTGATGTTCCAAGTTTGTATCATTCCTTTGCATATAATTAAACCTGGAACAACATGCACTAGATTTATGTCAGAAATATCTGTTGGTTTTCCAAAGGTTGTTAACAGATGAAGTTTATGTGCAAAAAAGGGTAAGATATAAATTCAAGGAAGAAAAAAAGTTGATAGCTAAAAGGTAGAGTGTGTCTTCGATATAATCCAATTTGTTTTTTGTCAAAATGTAAGTATTTGTCTTCCCTAGAAATCCTCAGAATGATTTCTATAATAAAGTTAATTTCATTTATATTTGACAAGAATACTCTATAGATGTTTTATACACATTTTCATGCAATCATACGTTTCTTTTTTGGCCAGCAAAAGTTAATTGTTCTTAGATATAGTTGTATTACTGTTCACGGTCCAATCATTTTGTGCATCTAGAATTCATTCCTAATCAATTAAAAGTGCTTGCAAGAGTTTTAAACTTAAGTGTTTTGAAGTTGTTCACAACTACATATCAAAATTAACCATTGTTGATTGTAAAAAACCATGCCAAAGCCTTTGTATTTCCTTTATTATACAATTTTCTTTTTAACCTTATAGTGTGGTGTTACAAATTTTATTTCCATGTTAGATCAACATTCTAAACCAATGGTTACTTTCATACACACTCTGTTTTACATCCTGATGATCTTTAAAAAATAATTCTTATAGATATCATAAATCAAAAACGTGTTAGAAAAAATCCCACTTATAGCTGGGTGTAGATCTATGCCCATTTATACCCACAACATATATACGAAATGGTAACATTTCCCAGTTAGCCATTTAATTCAAAAGCTCAAAGTCTAGCAATAATATAAAAATGCAACAAGCTATTAGCTAGGAATTGTTTTTTGAATTAGGACTGGCATTTTCAATCTGGGCAGATTTCCATTGTCAGCCTGTTTCAACAATGATTTCACTGAAGTATATTCAAAAGTAGATTTCTTAAAGGAGACTTTCTGAAAGCTGTTGCCTTTTTCAAATAGGCCCTCTCCCTTTTCTGTCTCCCTCCCCTTTGCACAAGAGGCATCATTTCCCATTGAACCACTACAGCTGTTCCCATTTGAATCTTGCTTTCTGTGCGGTTGTGGATGGTTGGAGGGTGGAGGGGGGATGTTGCATGTCAAGGAATAATGAGCACAGACACATCAACAGACAACAACAAAGCAGACTGTGACTGGCCGGTGGGAATTAAAGGCCTTCAGTCATTGGCAGCTTAAGCCAAACATTCCCAAATCTATGAAGCAGGGCCCATTGTTGGTCAGTTGTTATTTGCAATGAAGCACAGATCTGATCATGTTTAAAGTGGAGGCACGCAGGGCAGGAGTGCTTGAGCCCAAGCAAAGGATGGAAAAAAATAAGCCTTTGTTGGGTAAAAAAGGCCTGTCTGAGACTTTTATTTGTTCTGTGCAACATATAAGTCAATACAGATAAGTCTTCCCCTGCAAACTTCAGTAAAAAGCCTGGGGGTTCTGGCAGTCTAGATTAAAATGCTTGCACATGCGGAAACCTCTGGGGACAAAGACACACTTCCACTGAATTCTACTCTGCTTTAAAAAAACCCCAAAAGCAAATGATCAGAAATATAGAAATTAATGGAAGGATTTAAACATGACCTTCTAGTTCAATATCTACTGTTTTTTAGTTAAGGAATTACTTGTGAACAGATAATTGAGATTTATCGCTCTGGCATGAAACATACTACTAATTTTATGCCACCAGAGTCGCTGCACATTTGGAGACACCTTCCTAAGTTGACTGCAGTTTTTGAATGTGTGCATGTAGTTTTGTTCAGTGTCAGCCTGCACTGCACAGCGGCACATTTCTGCAGGGGAGTGCGCACACGTATGCACTGTTGGTACAATTGCCCGTGCAGACATTTCTACCTCCTGACATTTTGCAGCCTACATTCCCCGAGGGCCGTGTGCTGAGGGAACTGTCAGAGAAGGGCTATGTGGGAGTGCATGCCACAGCTGCTGGCTGGCTTACTTCTTCCTTCTCACTGGCTGTAACTTCCACCAGGGTCAGGCAGCCAGTTCTGGCCCACGGTTCTGTTGTGTAGAGAGCAGAGACTTTGGAGACCTGGGTGTGGCACGCCAGGTGCAAGAGGTGGGAATGGGAGAAAAGGAGTGATGTGGGAGCGGAGGGTATGTACGCACTTGGGCACGTATATGTGTGTTCTGAGGGTCAGGATTGCCAGGGCAAAGTTGCACAGTCTGGTATGAGTCTGAAGAAGCGGCTGCTCAGCTGCAGAAGCCCTCTGATCCAGCAGGATGGGAACGGCTGCCTTGCCTTCTGCCCACACCCTAGGGACATGAATTGTCCCTCCAAACAGAGCTCCAGGCACTCTCTCGGGGACAGCATGCCAGGCACTGTGTGGTAGCAGTGCCTGGGAGTTGGCAACTTTTACTCATGGTTGAAATAATTTATTTTTATTATTTATTTAATGATACATATATTTATATATTTATCAATGGGGTATCTGCAGGGATGTTTTGATGCCATCTTCCAGGATGGAGATTATTTGTGAAGATCTCAGTAGACTCACAGGACTAAAAGCCTAAAATTTTTCTCCAAACTTGACGGACTTGGGAAAACCAAGTGAACAGAATAAGAGCTGAATGTTTTAAGTAATAAACATTCAAACTGCTCTAAGTAAAAAAATGCATTTTACTGCAATGAATTTCCAGAATATTTCCCCCCCAAAGCTATGCCTCCTAACCCTTAAATGGTAAACAACTGGTTTCTTGATAGAGCTCACTGACATTTCTTCCTTCTTTCTATTGTCACTAGGTTTCCTAAGATTCACTTACACAGTATTATTTTAAGATTCAGCTTTGTTCTGTGAATGTTTGTCATCTTAGGATTGTGTCTATATTCCTTTGCTTATTTCTTTTTACTCTAGGCCTCTCATATTAGTAAGATTAAAAAAAGCCTTTTCTTCTCTGTATGTTTGGCTCACCAAGGCCAAATATATATTCTTCTCTTTTTCATTTCTCAAGAATAAACCTCATCTGCTTTTTTGTTTTTCTGTGTTTTGGCTTGGTACTAAATGACTCAACTGCTCAGTTTTAAAGTTCAAAGTTTAAGTACTTAGGGTTAGTACTGCTTATTTCAATAATGTTGATGGTGACTATCTTTGGAAAGCAGTAACACACTGTCTTAGAAATGACATTAATAATGGGCTTAAACAAATGAATAGGGGGGTCACCCCACTCTCCTTTTGTATGCCCATGTGTGTCTGATTTGTTAAAATTAAAAGATGGACAGGGAATTAATTGCAGAATGTCACTTCCTTCTAAAGTAGTTTTATTTTGTCTACTGTTAGTATTTAAAGATCCTGGAGATGGACATAAGGAATAAATGGAAGAGAAAAGTAGATATTGTCTGGTGGCTACTAGAAGGAAATTCAAAAAGTCTTAGAACCCTAGCGCCTGAGCAAACTGCAGTAGTCAAAATACTTACCTCATGTTAAAGAAAGGCAAATCTAGTGTAAGAAATGAATACCATATAGTGTTTTGAAATTCATATACTAGAAACACTGAAAAGATATCATTTCAGATACTATGTTTGGCATTGTTCTTAAGTATTTATATCTTTGAGTCAAGCTGATAATTTTAAAAAATCTGTTAATGGAGTGTATATTTCATAATGTATCAAAATGGTGTCTATACCTACAGTAGCACTATTGAAGAGCGATATATTTATGTAGTAAGTTATTAACATAATGAGTAACAATATGCTATTGTTATTAAACATAATGAGTAACAAATAATGTTTCCAGAAGAAAGGAAAACACATTTTCAGAGTGGGTTTTTATCAGAGGAAGACAAAAATATATATACCCCTCTTCAGTAGCTTATTTTTACAAAGCCTGCCCAGAAAAACAAAGCACTTGGATATGACTTTTGGAAGCCCAGGTACTCTTATTATTCAAAATGCACTTTTACTGAGTTTGAAAAGTTTCTTTTATATTGAAAATAAGGGTTCAAATATGTATATTCAATTTTTATAGTATTTATCTATTTGCAAAGCATATATTAACTAGTAATTGGCTGTTAATTTTATAGACATGGTAGCCAGGGAAGTAAATCAATGACCTATTAAGTATTTTGACAAGCAATTTGCATATCTGATGACCTCACATCTCTTTTTCAGAGAGTCATATGCTATGTAATTGTTCCATTGTGTGTTTGTATAAAATGAATCAACATGGGAAGAAAAAGGTTAGAGTTATTAAAATAATAACCTGACTAAAATACTCATTTGAATTTATTCAGAATGTTCATAATGCTTTCAAAGGACATAGCAGAGCTTTTGTGGAGTATCCGCACAACATTATTATCTATGGACTAAATCAATTTTCTGAAGTTGCTTTAAAATTTAAAAGCACCTTTGCTTAATATAAAAGCCCTTTAATTTTAACTGACAGATCAATTCTGAAACTTTATTTTGAAAAGAAAATGGGGAAGAATTTGTGTCTTTAGAATTAAAAGAAATGAAAAAAATAAACCAGACATTCTAAAAAAATAGAATAAGAAACCTGATTTTTAGTACTAATGAAATAGCGGGTGACAAAATAGTTGTCTTTTTGATTTTGATCACAAAAAATAAACTGGTAGTGACAGGATATGATGGAGAGATTTGACATCCTGGCAAATCACTGTCATTGATTCAATTATTCTAATTCTGAATAAAAGCTGTATACAGTATGTGTTTATGCTACAGTGGGTTTTTTTTAAGTGACTGACATTCATCACATTGGTTAGACAGTTTTAAAAACCTAGTCTTTGTTTTCTACAATGTTGTCAAGAACAAATAAAGTATAATTTGTGGTATATTAAAAGCAAGCTGCTTAAAAATGCTAGTTATAACTGCTTCAAAATATTCGAATACATTTGAAAATGTATTTTGGAAATTCAGTTTCTCCCAATGGATGTTAAACACCTTTTAAAAAAATCAAGACTCTTAAATATGCAAGTTACTTTTTAACTTTCATTTTTTATCTATTATCTGTCAAAAGCTTTGAGAATATGGAATTATAATTAAAACACCTAGTGTTTTATATGAAAACTGGTTCAATATGCTATACGCCCCCAAAGACGTATTTATATGGTTAGAAATTTACACACTCAACCGATGTTCATAATTAACAAAAGGTTTATGTGATGCAATGAAAATGTGAGTTAGTTTCATTTTTTCACTCTGTCTCAGACCTATGTTCTGTAAAATCTCTCAACAAGCTTCAGTATGTTTTTCTCCTGGTATCCTAGCATTAATGTAGCTGTCAGTTTGAATTTCAATCCTGAATGATGCCTGTTGACATAATTTCATAGTACTGACTTCAATTGTTTAGGATTACTAAACTAAAGACCATCCACTTCTTTTTTCTATGTTTCCTATCATTCAAGTTCTTTATATTTAATAACTACTATGGTAGACTAATTATCTTTAATGGAGTCTAAATCTCCAAATATTATTTTGTCTTTATCAATTTAATAACCAGATACATAAATGCAAATTTATTTTATATATTAGCAAACACATTTTCATTACAAAAACTTAGCATTTTTGGTGGCAAGTGACTGTTTCTGAAATAAAGAGAAAATATGTTTTCATATACAATCTTGAATTTCATCATGTTTTGTATGCTACCTGCTGTGACATGCACATTACCATGACACTAAATGCCTTAGTACATGGACATGAATGACCACTGTCAGGCATCTTGAGATTTTTGACATTTTTTGGTGTTTATTTAAAAATAAAATTATTTTCTCTATAGCATGAAGGAAAAATTGAAAAGTATTTCTGCTGTGTTACTTCTGTAAAAAGTTAAAAAATGAGAAATGGTGGCTCCATTTTACAATCCTGTGTTTTTCAAGGAGTGGAGGGTCAAATTGTTAAGAAAAATATTTACATAAGCTATTAGCAATCATAATTAGAGTGTCATAGAATTCTGCATGCAACGGCTAAAGAGGAATCCCTAGAAGTCCAGGTGCTTCTTGCCTCCGGCCATCATGCCACAGCCTGGGCCCAGCCGCTTGGTGGATTCTGCCAGATCCTGTTTGCTTGAGCGGCTCACTGTGTCTGACAAGTCTGGAGGCAAATGCAGTCGCTATAGCAGAAGATTTCAGGAGAAGAAAAAGAGAAGAAAAAAATTAATTTTGCTTTGGCTAGCATACTCCAGAATACAATATTATGCTCTGTTGATTAGCATTTAGTCTTGCATATAAAATTCCTGCTAAAACAATTCTTCAGACTGAATTCCAGTATAATCACCTCCTGTTCCTACTGGATTTTACAAATTACAGCCATTACAGAAACTGTGCAGGAACCTTAGTGGAACATTTTCAGTGTCCAAACCAAAATGTATTAAGATCTTTTCTCATGAGGTAGAAGTGAACACATGTAAACACATAAATAACAGCATCGTTGGAAATACCGCATAAATAACGGCAGGTGTCTTTTTTCTTTTTGGCTTTGTTTTCTTTTGCCAGGGCTCCAACATGCAATTTTTAAGGTCAAATGTAGCTTTTCAGCAATTACAGATTCCCATGAATACTTGTTTGTCTTTGTCTATTAGCTGACCTGACGATTCTTTTTCAAGGTTATACTTTCTCTAGGAACTTAAAATTTTCACAGAAATATTGACAACATAAAAAAATGATACCAACCAAAGGGCCAATTTTTTTATATGTTCAGGTAAGTCAGCCGTAGCATCTATTACGGGTCTTGGTAAGTTTGTTTCTATGCATAATGCTGGGTCATGTTTTCAAAAGTACAGCGTTGCTCTGAACACCCTCCCAACCCCCGCCCATCCCAATTGTTTTTCTGCAGATACAGGCTGATTTAAACTTACTATAGCAACTGACCACAACAGAAGTTACTGTAATTATGGAGAAACATCCATATTTCAAAAGAACACTTTCCTGTTTTCAAAAGAATATCAAATTCATTTAACTCTCAGTGCTCCCAGCTTGCAAAATTTATTTCATAAAAATCCAAACTTAAAGGAACATATCTGTTGTGTGAGACACAAAGTGTGTGGGAAGCTAAAGATAAGGCAGCATAGGGCTCCCCACTGATGACTACACAGAGCCTTCTAGAGGAGAACTGACCTGGAGACAACCTAGCTGAAACCCTTCATTTGGAAAACTCCCTTCAATATGGGGGGTAGGGGGGAACAGATGAAAAAGGGGAGAACCATATATTTTTGGTCAAAATATTGTGGTCCACAAGCATATGCTCCAGTTAGTTTCCTTCTTGAACAAAGGCTTTTTATTGTCATGTAAACACAAGCTGTGTGCATATGATCAAAATATTTTAAAACTAAAAATAATTTATGAAAAAATATTCTTCCTTGATTTCAACCTGCCTGTACTTATTTTTAATACAAATATATCTAGGATAAAAGATACTATTATACAAATGCATGATCAACAAACATGTCAGAAAGGTCAAGGGGGTCAAGAAAAGCTGCAACAGTCATACAATAATATCCATACAGAACTATTCCTTAGTATCCATGGGACCCAGCCTGTCACTTATTAAGTAACTAAATGTCTATTTCTTGAATGACAAAAAAGCACAAATAAAGACATATTTGTTTCTTTGTTTTAAGCAATTCTTTCATTTCTTTATGCTCTAGTTTGTTCCAGGAAAGATTTCAGGCAGAAACAAAGGCATGAGAGGCTCAGGAATCAGTCAGGCACAGTGGCTCACATCTGGTAATCCCAGAACTTTGGGGAAGCCGAGGCAGGCAGATCATGAGGTCAGGAGATGGAGACCATCCTGGCCAACATGGTGAAATCCTGTCTCTACTAAAAATACAAATATTACCTGGGTGTGGTGGTGCGTGCCTGTAATCCCAGCTACCAGGGAGGCTGAGGCAGGAAAATCGCTTGAACCAGGGAGTTGGAGGATGCAGTGAACCAAGATCGCGCCACAGCACTCCAGTCTGGCGACAGAGCAAGACTCTGTCTCAGAAAAAAAAAAAAAAAAAAAAAAAACATAAAAGGCCCAGGAATCCAAAAGGCAAGTGTGGTTCTAAATTTTGGGGTTACAAATGTCTGTGTAGGGTTAATTCTATCAGTGTCCATGTGAGGAAGCAGGAGGGAAAGAGACCTTTAATTACATGTCTGAGTTTTAATGTTTAAGATGTTGTAGTTATTGCTAATGAGCAAAAGAAAAATGACCAGGATACATGCATAATCTGAAGGTTATCTGAAAAAGAAAATTACCATAAAGAAACGTGTATGTATATACTTTTGGTTGGGACCTGACAAATTATGTTAGTGATTAGGCTGTTTGGTAAATCAACTGGAGTCAACAAACATTTAGAATCCACTTGAAGTAAGGCATTCTGAAAGGTTAGGTCAATAAAGTACCTTCCACACTCATTTCCTTACAATCCAGTAACATGAATAAGGCAAACACACAGGTAACCCTCACACTGAACACTCCAAGTTATGTATACAAAAAAGGCAGAGACAAACCAGAAGTCACAGTTGGGGAAGGAAAACATGAAAAAGCTTTATGGGGTTGGCATCTGAGCTGGGTCTGAAGTAATAAACTGGATTCTGACATGAAGAATGGAGATTTGCTTAACAGGAGAACCAATATATCTTTACGATTACATGATGCATTTAGTTAACGGGTCCTACTACTCTGATAATCTAAATGAGAAAACTTGCGTGGTTTGTTTAGAACAAGCATAATACAATTTAT